ATTATACTGCTGATTCTTGTCCAGTTTCAAGATTCTGAAAAATGAATTAAAAAGAAACAAACATCCCCTCCCATTTAGACTAGACGAACCACAGGTATTTTGTGCAGATGGTCTAATTTGATTTGTATTGCATGGATACAGTGCCAGTTGAATCGCTGAGGAAAATTTCTGTGTTCCGGTAAAGACATGGAGGAAAGGAAATCTCAGTTTAGCCTTTCTTGCCTTACCTATGAACAGCTTATTGCTGGTGATCTATTAGGGTAGGGGTCCTTAGTGTTTTGCCTGGGGGTACCACAACACCCACCTATGCCTTTTTTTGGTGCCCACCAAGTGTTTAGCAAATAGGGTTTTTGCCTAGCAAGGTTTCTGAATTACTATTGGAAATTTGATTGGCTGTACAGATTAAAATCTTTGCTGTGTGACTGACATAAAGCTTTGGTATAAGAACACAAGAAGAGCCTTGCTGGATCAGACCAATAGTCCATCTAGTCCAGCATCCTTTCTAACACATTGGCCAGCCAGTTCCTCTGGAGGATGAATGACAAGGCATAGAGACTGAGGCCTTCCCTTCATAAGAACATAAGAAGAGCCCTGCTGGATTAGACCAGCATCCTGTCTCACACAGTGGCCAACCAGTTCCTCTGGACAATGGACAACGAAGCATAAAGGCTAAGGCCTTCCCCTGATGTTGCCTCCTGGCTCTGGAATTCAGAGGATGAGTGTTTCTGAATGTGGAAGTTCCCCTCAGCCATCATGACTAGTAGCCATTGATAGACTTTGTTGTTGTGGCTCTTCAGTTGCACCGTCGAGTCCGACTCTTCACGACCCCATGGACCACATCACGCCAGGCCCTCCTGTCTTCCGTTGTGCTCCGGAGTTTGCTTAATTTCATGTCCGTGAATCTGTCTAAACCCCTTTTAAAGCTATTTATTCATGTGGCCATCCCCACATCCTCCAGCAGCAAATTCCACATCTTAATTACTCTCTGTGTACTCTTTGTCCAGCCTGATCCTAATGTTCATCAGCTTCATTGGATGCCCTCAAGTTCTAGTACTTTGGGAGACAGGGAAAGTTTCTCCTTCTCAACTCTCTCCACCCCATGTATAATTTTATATACTTTTGTCATGTCCCCCCTCAGACTCTCCAGCCTTCCCTCAATGGAAAGGTGCTCCAGCACCCTAATCATCTTGGTTGCCCTCCTCTGTGTTTTTTCGAGTTCATTTTGTGGCTGGCTCCACCTCCTGTGGCAGCCATTTGGTGGGAGCCATTTTTTTTGGCTACCCCTACCATACCATGGAGCTGCGGTGGCTCAAGTGGTTAAGACGCTGAACTGCAGGCTGTGGAAGGTCGGTAGCTCAGCAGTTTGAGACCCGAGTGTGCCGCATGACGGAGTGAGCTCCCGTCTCTAGTTCCAGCTCCTGCCAACCTAGCAGTTCGAAAGCAAGAAATTGCAAGTAGATAAATAGGTTCCACTTCGGTGGGAAGGGAACAGCGTTCCGCGCGCCTTGGTGTTTAGTCATGCCGGCCACATGGCCACGGAAACGTCTTCGGACAGCGCTGGCTCTTCGGCTTTGAAACGGAGATGAGCACCGCAACCCTAGAGTCGGATTCGACTGGCTTTCGAGCAGGGGAACCTTTACCTTTACCTTTTTACCATACCATATCAGAATTCCAAAGGTGTCTGCAGGCTCAAAAAGGCTGGGGATCCCTGTAACAGGGACATCCTATAGGCCTCCTCTTGTATCAGAATTATGGAGTACAGAATCCGTCTCAATTCCATAATCACAGCATTGTTTGAACTGATAACATCCCCTCCCCCCGGTGAACCATACTGGGGTTTCCTAAAGGGAATGGAGAGGGGAAGATTGTGAGTTTGTGTCCTGTGAGTTTGAGTCCTGTGAAGATTGTGAGTTTGGTTTAAGTACAGACCACAGGTCAGCGGTAGAACAGACGGTTTGTGTGCAGAAAGACTGAGGTTCAATGTTCAGCATCTCCACTACAGCAAGAGTCACAGCTAGTCACAGGAGACAAAAGTAAGCAAAACAGGCCAGTTGTCAGATCCATATATTCCAGGGAAGGTCTTGTGGCTCATTGGTAAGGCAAATGCTTTGTGTATGGTAGTTGGCTAGATGGACCAACTGTCTGACCAGTAGGGATGGGCATGAACCAGCTCACAAATGAAAGTTTGTGACAAGTATTGGCTGGTTTGCGGTTCTCAAACTGAAGTTGATGAACTGCGACAAATTTTAAAGCAGTTAGTGGTCAGTTTGTGGTGGTTCGTGAAGAGCAAAACGCAACCACTTCAACCCCAGCTGTTCTTCATGAAAAACAGCTGAGCAGAGGGGAGCAGAAAGCAGGGGTTTAAATGACTTTAAGCCATTTAAACCCCTGCTTTCTGCTTCCCGCCACTTTTTGTGGGAAAATCCCCTGCTTTCTGTTCTCTATGACTAGTGGTAGGGACCAGAAAGCAGGGGTCGCAAACCCATATGAACTGGTTTGGTGGGGGGCGGGGCGTCGGGCTCAAGATGGCGGGCGCTATTTAGAAAACCTCCGACATACCCCCCGGCCTTCACTTAAATAACTACGAAAAGCCGACTCCTTTCCTGCTCAAAACGGCATGGGAAAAACATCAAAGACTCGCCAACATACTGCAACGGTAAACGCTTCTTTTTTGAAAACCTACTTTCAAAACGAGCGCCCGAGCAAAACCCCAGGGAACGCTACCAGGGAAAGTGCTAAAATGGCGGCGGGCGGCTCAAATGCTGATCAAACAACCCCGGGACTTACCAAAGCGGATATTGCAGAGTTTTTTCAATCCTTTAAAAATGAGATGCTGGAGAGTATAAACGCCATAATTAAACCCATCTCCGACAGGCTGGATGCAATGCAAACGGAAATAAAAAACATAGCCCAGTCGGCGGAGACTGCGATTGAAACGTCCATCGCAAATCAGGAGGACGTGCGTAGCCTTCAGGACTCCGAATCCTGGGCCAAAGATCGTATACTCATTTTAGAACACAGGTCCAGAGAGAAATTTTTGAAAATCCGCGGTTTTTCAGAACGAGCGGAGGAACAAATGGATCTAACTAATTTTATAAGCTCATGGCTGATCTCTGTGATGGAATTTGATGATGGTATTGAGCCAGTACTGACACGTGCCTACCGAGTTGGAAGTAAAAATGCTGACAAGAGAAAGGGTCCGCGAGACATTCTTGTAGAATTTCTGGACCTCAAAATAAAACATCACGTTCTCCAGGAAACACGGAAATCCGGCAGCTTTAAACACAATGAAGATGAAATTTTCATCTTCCCGGACATACCACAGGAAGCTCTACAAATAAGACGCTCATTAAAACCCATTACAAAAATCTTAACCGAAGCTAAAATTAAATACCGATGGGCAGCAACGGGTCATCTTCAGGTGCGACATCGCGGTACTCTGCATCAGGCGGCCGATTTGGAAGCTGGTGAAGCCATTCTGCTAGCCTTGGGAATTCTACCACCAGAAGAAATGGAAACGGCAACGGCAACGGGAACAGCGAAGGAGGCCGCAGAGCGCAAACGAAAGAGGCCACAGCAAGCCACACCAACGCGCTGGTGGAAGACTACATCACGACGCAGGATGTACTTTTGAAAAACTCATTTATCAGGTTTCATTCCCTTAGTTAGATTATGCTGTGTCACAGCCTCCCTGTATAAGGGGGGTCATAGGGATCATTCACATGTACAACTCTTCTTCTTTAAAGAGTCGATTTTGAAGCAAGGAAGGCCGGGTAGGGGGGGGGATTGGTGGGTTGGTAGGTTTTCTACACCTCTTTTGAATGTTTGAGCTGTTGCACTTGTTTTTCGTGTTAGACTTAGTTTTCTGGCTAGTCCTGAATGTTGAGTCAGTAGGACTCAGTGGGGGAACTTTTCCCTCACCTTGGGACTACGGGAGGGGGGAGGGGGGAGGTTCGAGGGGGGGTTATGGGTTTAGAACTTTGCACATACTTCAACTGTTTTGTTTACACTATGGGGTAAGGGTGGGGGGAGGGGAGAATGTTCTTTGTTATCGTTTAAGGGTATGGGAGAATGTTCTTCGTTATCGTTTTAGGTACAGAAAATTTATATGGAAATTTATTCCACAGAGATATTTGATAACCAACAGTAGTGACTGGTTCATGTACAAAAAATGCAATAATAACAACTGGTTTGGTTCATGAACGAGCCTCCTGGTTCGTTTTGGTTCATGGTTCAGTCCGCGTGTCGGGGCCACGAACCACGGTTCATGCCCATCCCTACATTATCTATTCAGAATTGTATACTTTGTTTTTACCTCTCGTTCAAGAAATGTTTGGGTTTATCTTCTCTGATTTTGTTTCTACCTGAAAGAAAATCTCATCCCCCCCCACTCCCTCCTTGAAGTTCTTTGGGGTTTTACTCAACCTTTTGCCTGACTGACATCTTTAAACTAATCCTAACTCTGAGTAGGAGGCATTAACATGCGTCCCACCTAAAGCTTTGATCTGAAGCCATGTATGAAGAAATGTTCCCACCATATGTAGATCTTAAGTACGAATGTGGTCTGGAGGCCTCCGTTATTTTCAAAATGTGGTTGGCAGGTATTAGGAGGGACTGAGGAGGGGCTGGGAATATACCCCACTTGAAAGGACTTTGGAGGCAGGCAAGATGGCATGCTCCACGTGCGCCAAACACCTCAACCCCAGTCCTGCCAACTGTTACTCTCTAACAAGAGGGCCAAACAACTCCATTGTGTCAAGAGTCAGCGCTGTGGTTATGCAAATGACAAAAAAGTCAATGGGGTGGTATGTTCAATTGCTCCGGCCTATAAAATGGCCACATGCATGATATAAACATCACTTAAATATATATATAGGAAGGCCCAAAATACGCAGATGAGCCCAAGCCAGCCTCACGACAATTATAGCAATTTGAAGCATAAGCGCGTACAGCCAATGTCGGTTAGGAGCTAATTAAAACTTTTATGTTCAAAGGCTGCCTCATCCCCTTGGGCTCTGGAGGAATCTTTATAAAAGCTCTTGCAACTCTTAAAAAGGGTTTGTTTGGGTTCAGCTGCTCGGGGATCAGGTAAGTCTCGTTTGAAACAATCTGCTTGAGAATGGTGGAAGTGGCGTTTTACCGGCCCTGAATTGAAGGCCCGTTGAGAAAGAGACCTTGAGAAACTTCTACGAATTCCATTGCTTTACGTGGAGGGTGGGAGAGGGTGTAGACCAGGGGTGTCGAACTCACTGAAAATGTGTTATTTAAAGTTTAAAAAAATCTTTAATTGTGTCTATCCGTGTCCTTTATAAAGTCTATATCTCTGCTACCTGGCTTTACTTTTTATGACACACATGACCTGGCCCAACAAGGTCTCATTTATGTCAGATCCGGCCCTCATAACAAATGAGTTCGACACCCCCGGTGTAGACTATTGATTTAAGAACTGTAGATGATAGCTTTGGGGTAAGGAAGGAATTGTCCTCCAGGCCAGATTTTTTCAGGGATCTTGGAGGGGTTTTTTTGGGGGGGTTGCCTTCCTCTGGGCATAGAGAAGGGGTCACTGTGGGATTGGAGAGCATCTGTGAATTTCCTACATTGTGTAGAAGGTTGGACTAGATGACCCTTGAGGTCAATTTCACCTCTGTGTCTCTATATTTTCGGGGGGGGGGAGGTATTCATTTCCCCATTCTAAGCTGTGATTGGAACAATTGGTTTGATTTCCGTGTACAATCCACTTCAGTCAAGACCAAAGTGTTTATGCTCCCTTGAAATCCGAAGTCTTCCCCCCCCCCCCAGATACATTTAGATTCTCAGCATTACTTTTTTTCTTTCCCCTTAAGTTTTGGTGGCAAGGTGGGCAGAACTTGAAAACCAGAAGATTATATATATATATACTTACACAGGTTGTTTTTTTTTTTGTCTAAAATGGCGACACTTTCTCTTTCCTTTCTCCTTTCCATATTATTGGAATACAGAAGATTGAGAGATTATAACGCACAAAGAAGTAACAGGGATCAGAGCTGGGCAGAACCGAATTCAGAACCTTCTCTTGGTACAGAGACTCGCTCTGATTCTTTTGAAACACCACCGATCTTTCATGCAAGAACCCCCCACTCCCATCCTCACTTCAAAATGGGCTTTAAGAATAATTGTTGACAAACCCTAAGAGATACCCTTAATACATATTCAGGTCAGACTGGCGTCTTTTTTGGGGTACAGTTCGAAGTGCTGTTTTATATCATTAGGGCCCTGAATGACTTGGGGTCACAGTGTGGGAAGAACCACCTCCCACGCTGTCTAGCCCCCCAGTTAAAATATGCCTCTGTAACCTTGCTCCCTGTGTTCTTATCTGCAAGGGTGAGGTGGGTATGTGTTCTGAAGCTTCGCATTTTGGAATATCCTCCCATTTGCGGTTTGGCTGACACTTTCCTGTCTTGTAGGTACCAGGCCAAAAAGAATTATTTTTCCACCCAAGCTTCTAACTATGGGGGGGTTGAGCTTTTAAAAATAGTTTTATGGTCTGCTTCTTGCCAAAAACCTGTTTTATGGACAGTTTACGTCACTTGGTGGTTATTCTATGTGGTTTTATGGCCATTGTCTTTTTTTTTTTACAGGCTTGTTTTAAATATTGATCATTTATGTTGTTGCTTCTGTTGCTTTATGAGCTGAGCCATATTGTGTGGGTCTCTAGGAAGGTACATTTCTGATTTTATTTTTTTTTAAAAAACCAACTAAAATAAATAATCAGTTGGGTATATCTGCTTATAGAGAATTCACCTTATATTATAACTCATATTTTCAGTACAGACTAGAATCATATAGTTAGGTTAAAAAAAAATGCATGAATATGTTCAAGGCATGTATCGTTGGATTGCTTTAGCAAGGATATTAATCTGCATGCCATAGATGCTGGCCAGTTATGGCTCACAACATATTCAAGGTGAATTGCTGAATTGCTTCAGAAAGGATATTGACTTGCATGCAGTAGGCAATGGCTTGTTATGGTTCAGCACATATTCTGCACATATTGTTGAATTGCTGTAGAAAGGATATTGATTTGCATGCAGTGGGCAATTACCTGTTATGGTTCAACACATATTGTTGAATTGCTTTAGAAAGAATATGACTCTGCACACAATAAGTGATAGGCAGTTATGGTCCAACACGTACTATTGAATATGTTATTGAAGGCTTTCACGGCTGGAGTTCATTAGTTGCTATAGATTTTCCGGGATGTGTGGCCATGGTCTTGGCATTGTAGAACCTGAAGTTTCGCCAGTAACTGTGTCTGTCATCCTCAGAGGTATATTCCATCTTTCTGTGTTTATACCTCTGAGGATGCCAGTCACAGTTACTGGCAAAACGTCAGGTTCTACAATGCCAAGACCACGGCCACACATCCCGGAAAATCTACAGCAACTAGCATACCGTTGAATTGCATTAGAAAGGATATTAATCTATTATTATTTGCTTAAGAAGGGTTATTAATCTGCACACAATAGGTGATAGCCATATTCAAAAATAATTTTGAATTGCTTTAGAAAGCAACGTTGGTTGCCCTGGAAGTGGCTACTCACACACACACACACACACACACACACACACACACATATTTCCCCTTCCCTAACATACACTTGTTATTTACCCATTTTAAATTGGGATTTGACAAGACTGTGGAAGAGCCTTCTGTCAAAAATCTTCGTTCTCTCGACCATCCAAGCTAAAAGCTCACTGCAACAAGGGGACCAGTCCCTAATGAATGTTTGTTTTTGCACCAAAAAAGCCAGAAATGGATTCGAGAAATACATGTTTTACGTACAAAGTATAGCAGACATGTCTCTTTCCTCGACTTTCTTTCCTCCTCTGTCGAGTGGTTTATATTCTCTCTCTCTGTCCCTATGTTTTGTTTCTCCTTTCACTTCATATACTGTATTTGCTTAAGAAATGTATTGAACCCAGGACCTTTTGCATGCCAAGCAGATGCTGTGCTAATAAGCCACTCCCCCTCTCTCTGTTCCTTAAAGATGGGGGCAAAACTTGTTTCCTTTTATCGAAGGAGAAACCAGCATGCATAATAGGCTGGTCATGCATTTATTTTATCTCTGACTCCTCCAACCAAACCTGTTTTTTTAATAGATGCCATAGCATCCCAGAAGCCTGGCAAAACCAGTTCTTTAAATGCTAAGATTAAACCCTTAAGGACAGAAGCTAACCTCCGGAATGTCACCCCACGCCCTGCTACCCAAGCTATAATTTATCTAAAATGCCTCATAAAATGGCGAGACATCTCTGACAAAGCAGCATCTTTCGCAGCAGAACAATTGCTTCGGCATTAGTCAAAGGCTTCCCTTTATACCCCGTTATAGGTCTTTTCCCTTCCTCATTTTAGGTGTTTTCATCTGGGCGCCTTCAGCTCCACCATCCCCGTAAGCAGGTGATGATTCAAATAAATAAGCCCCACCCACGATGGAGCTTCCTTAAAGGTCCCATCCTTTTGCATTGGTAATGTCTGCCACCTCTGCTTTCTCTTCGTCATGTCTTTTGGTAGGCGGCACACCAGCTAGGTCTTGTCCAGTCATGAAGGTTTTCATTGGGAAAGAAGAAAAGGGGTTTCTCAACTACCCCATTCCTACCTTTTCCCGGTCTCATGACCATGAATGGATTTCTCCCAGTTTTAACTCTGGTGGGAATTTATGGAAGATATGTGACTTCCTTCCCCATCTCATGATGTTTCAGGGTGACCTGTACCAGCTGGCTTAATGCTCAGAAGATATGGCCAACATTCTATGAACTAGTGTTCATAGAATAGAGGCCATATCTTCTGAACATTACCACCATAGGGTTGCCAGCTCCCACTTGGGACATTCCTGGGGATTTGGAAGTGGTGTCTGGGAACGGTGGAATTTGAAGAGGGAAAGGAGCTCAGCAGAGTTGTGATACTGTAGAGCCCACCGGAGTTGTCATTTCATCCAGGGGAGCCAAGGTCTTCTGTCAAGAAATTGGTTGTAATTCGAGGAGATCTGTAGGTTCAGCTAGCTATCTGGCAATACTAACCCTCAAACAGGTGGGATTTGTATCCGCTTATCGGTATCATTTTTCGTATGTCCTGAGCTCATAGTCTGTGAAAAGAATCTGTGCTTAGCCAATACCTGATTGTACCCATGAGTTCCCTTTGACTTGCCTTGATTTGTGACTCTTAGGCTACAGTCAGAGGACAGGCTTATTTATTTATTTATTTATTTATTTATTTATTACTTTTGATTTATATCCCACCTTGTCAGTACAAGCTGGCTCAAGGCGGCATACAACAAGTTAAATTGCAATAAAAACGATAAAATACAATAAAAATTCCACATAAGCAAACAATTTACATAAAGTGCAAGTAAGTGCAGATGGTAATTGCTATAAGATGGTCCGATGTAGGAAGGCCAGTATCCAAAGCTGTAACATGAGGGCCATAGCATGTTCAGTTTTCGATCGCTCATTCATCAGTGGTGGCTCCTAATCGAAGGCCTGGTGGAAGAGCTCCATTTTACAGGCCCTGCCTGTGGTCTGGCTGCACTTCTAATTTAATTCCGGGTGTTTTGGGGGGGGGGTTTGTGAAAGAGAGTTTTGATCAGACATCCCACTCTAATCTGCTTCACTGCGCGCTCACCCCATAGTTGATTGATCAGATTACTGCGGCACGGCAACCACTGAACAGGTGGTTAGGCAGTTTTTTAAAAACTTATCTTTTGCACATGAGCATAACCATATATTTGCCTTGTTGGGGATGCTTGGCCAGTACAGAGAGGGGTTTTCCCCTTGAATTTGCTGCTAAGAAAAGAACAACAAAACCCCGGGGGCTCCCAATCCAAACAAGGTGTTTTATTTATTTTATTTATTTATTTTTCGCATTTTTACCCCGCCCTCCCCGCGAACAGGCTCAGGGTGGCTTACACAGGGGCACAAGCCCATACATAAAAACAGTATAAAACAGTAAAAACTATTAAATCACGACAAAACAGTAAAGTGCTCCATACAAACAAGATGGTCTCTGAAGATGGTATTGATCATTTCATTAGGGTGAAATTGTCCTGTCGATG